TCCCTGATCGGTAAAGCCGTCAACAACATTTCGCGCCTTACGACACACAATAAACTGGTGATAATTAGATTTGGCTTGGGAGAGCTTGATCTGCTACCGAGGAAACATGGGAACAAACCTACTCACTATATTAGTACATAAAACATTTAAGATATAGACAGCTTCACATACACTGTTTGCAAAAGGTGCTAAACTTCGCCGCCCGTATGTGCCAAGAATTTGCTTGTAAATCATCTGTCCGCTCTTGATCACTTTTGAGACAATCGGATGCGGTCATTGGTGCTTGTGTAAACGTTTTATAATTCGCAGTCCGTAATCAGTGATCGGATCAAAGAGTGACAACTGTAATGCTTATAGAGCAATGAGTAAGTGCTACATCGCTATTAGTACGATGTAAAATGTACGTCTATCGTTACACAAGACACGGAATGTGGCAGATAAGGTGCATCTAGAGTTTATCTTCGTTCGCATGCAACGGAGGGGACATGCTACATCGCACTTAGTACGATATGGAAGGTACATCTAGAATTACTCACGGACACAATTGGTGACAGACTACACCGCACTTCGTAAGTCATTTATGGTACTAATAGATTTATTTGCGCGCAAACAGACGGACACAAACCGACAGAAAATAGGTCTTAAAAGGTTCGGTATTCACCTCATGCACATTCACAAAACATCTTGACCCTTCGGGTTAGCGAAAAAGGCCAAAACGTTGTGCATAGGAGTCGGGCTTATAATTTTTAACTGGGTTCCACTCCTGATAAACTCTGTAATTTATGGATGCAGTAGCATCTCAAGGTCCTCCTAATCACATACTGTTAGTAATATAGGGGAAGTTAAATCGAAGTGATAACCTTTGACTATTAGGGGTATTGATTTCAACTGCTCCAATACACTAGTAATATGATAGTAGCTTGCTTCATTTCGACTTCGCTCGTCCGGCGGACATGCAGCACCGATGTTGTTTGCATCCGTCAGCAATCTAATTGTACACACCGCTGCACTTTAATTCTGAAAAGGCACTCAGGCACAACCCTTTGGACTTATCTGCGCGTTTCTCGCTGAGACAAAGTGGTGATGGACTGTAACGGGGCACCCTGAAGCTTGTACTGGTGACAGTACAAGCTACTTATTCTGATGACAGAATAAGGCGGTGCCTCGTAAATTCACGTACACTCGTACGTGCAGAGGAAGACGGTAAGAAGAAGCGAGTACTTGGTTAAAGTAAAAAGTAGAACTGTATTTATAATAGTTAATGTCTGCAATAAATCACTATTTATCTTCATCTAACTATGTCTGAATACAAATGTGCAAATCAACTATCTGCCCACCACTCATTGCGTGCGTCTGTCGTGGCGCGCCTTCGTTGGTTGATATAATGGCCTATATCAACCAATCAGGAACTACTCGTAAGTGCTACAGAATATTTGTCCTTATGACAATATTCTGAGAATATAACACTTATAGTTATATTCTATTAACAATTTCTTATATATTGTTAGGTAACGATTCACCCCGTTACATGGACCCTACATTCTTCTACGTCATAAACATATGTATTTAGTACTAACTCGACTGGTTCATCTTGACGAGATACTATAATAGAATCGAGACGGCCCAGGGTCTCTGAGGTGTGTTCAGTCAATTTGTTGCAGTATAGAGCTGAGGGACTTGGCTGGCCCTCCTTCTTTCAACGAGATGATTACACAATCCAATTCTGACATTCACTCTGGGATGAACAACTCTGACTTCTTGGCGCAGTGATATTACTTTCGGGTGGTAACAGTCGTGTGACTCCGTTACATGTGGACAGCAGTCGAATGTCGTCTCACAATATTTGCTATCATGTTTGGTAAAAACATGTAATTTGAAAAATGTTCTGACGAAATTGTGGTTGTCTCATTGTTGCTACGTAGCTTGATGAAGAACGCAAGCATCAAACGTGGCCAACAGCACAAATGAAGTGAGTATTTTTATGAGGTGCCAGAATTATTTCTTACAAAGTTTTAAATGCTATGCTTGACAACGGACTTCGCGATACGTCCGATGACCGTATAAGCAATACTTTGTAGGCTCCTATCTTTATACGACAATGGGTAGTCAAGGAGAAGTGAGTCACACCATTTTGCTATTAATTTACAAACTTTTTTTTCAAATGCTGCTTGTTGTCATTGTGTCGCATGCTCTGTTAGTGCACTGACGGTCGACAGACGAATAATTCACAAGCAATTGGACGCTAATCGGATCTTTAGATGCGCACATGAGTAACGATATAGGCCTAGCAGCTATCTGCGTCGCAGTAAATTTGAAGTGAGCTGTGGCAAATAACATGTTTAATATTCGGCACGCGAAGTCCTCACAATCCTAGCGTATCCCGCTCCGCCCGTTATTCAAAATACGCGTTTCTAAGTTTGTGTCATCAACCGAACGCTTTTGTTTTGGAAAAAAGAGCGATCCAAGACCACGTGGACAGCCTCTTCGTGTTCTGCAACCGATGCGATAACTCACTACACAATCAATTTTACGTTCTGAGTCACGTGTAATGAATCAGTCGATCTCAGCGTCGTGCTCTCTTGGCCTTTTTAATTTTGTGTAAAATACGTGATCATACGCGTACAATTGTGCCATTTTCGTGATAAAGCTCGAAAAGATCACGGTATTGCCATCCAGATGATCAAAGACAAAAAACACGTTCAGCTGGTAACCTCCGCGCGATTAGTTTGTCCCGATGAAGTCCAGTGCGATGCCCTTAACGTACGAATCATATCGCGAGCATCAATGGAAATGCAGCACATCCATATCATGGTTTCACGATCGAATAAGTGGTGGCACAGCAAGGCGAAGCAGCGCGCAGCGGTGGTATGATCAAACAGCTACAAGCAGTGGTCTACAAACAAAGGCGGAGATTACTGATCAAGCGAGTTACGTCCTGGAGCTGAGGTATACGGAGACACTGTAAGCGAGCTGCAGAGTACTGTTGGTATCACGTCACACGCCGACACTCATCAGTACATTCGTTATTTCTAACCAGGAAAAGCAAGACACATGCAGCGTGAGAAAGAGGAAGTTGGAATTGTTTCTGTGTATGGAAAAGTCAAGTTTGACTTCCATTCGGACACAAATGTAGCATGAGATGCCAATAACTTTCTTTCCACGTCTGTCACGCATCGATCGTGTCTTGGACTCTTCAGCTACTGGGATCAAGAGTGCAACTATTGGAAAAGGTTATTGCATTTTGTCCCTGTACTTATCCATTGCGTGTCGTGAATTGTCTAGTCATGTCATGTCACGAGTCTACATCAGTCTGTCTTTCCATTCGTAAATTTTTGCTGCTCGTTTCGAATACAAAACCAATGTCCAAATTCTTTGCTATTCGACATTCTGCCAAGTCACGGAAATATGGTCGTAGGTACGCTAGGTTGTGCCATCGTCAGTGTGCCCAAAAGTATAATCATCGTCAAATCGACACGAATGAATTCTTAGGTAACTTGAAGAATCCAAATAGGAAGAAGAAACAAACGAGCACTTGAGATGCCAGTGACCTGCAGCTCTATCTGGTGAAACAAAACGGGACGTGGATGCCAGATGACGTTCATCTAGACGAAATGCTTCTGTCCGAACGAGTTCCGGATCAAATGGAGAAGATGCCTGCGTCGTGAAAATCAGGAAAGCCAAGCCTGTTCGGTTCTGATCTACTTCTTGGAAAGTACGTTGTCCATGTATTGGTGGTGCTTCCGCAGAAGTCAGTAATGTTAGACGATGTCACCATTACCGTCCATGAGGAATCTTGAATCCAGGAACTCCACCGAACAAATTCCGGAAAGCGTTCCGAGAGGATTACCCCGATACTGACCTCATTACTGGCACACTAATCGCATTACCAGATGACGCATTTATTCTTGGCGAGAAGGACCTTGTCTCTCATGTACATGTACGTCATTGCTATCCGCAGTTATGAAACGTTTGTTTGGGTGCTTTGAATCGCCCAGAAATGTGCAATCTTGTGATTCTCAGAACCCGAAAATCGGCAAAACGTTTTCGGATTGCATGTTGTAAAGCAACTGTAGGTTACGAGCCTGCCGGAAGTAAGAATCGTTTCATGTTATCTGGCGAGATAGCTATTGCGGGATCGAACGCGGACTTTAAAGATATCCTAAATCTAAGCGACACATATTATGGTGTGGATGCCATCGCACTAGATAACTACGCGGCAAAGAAGATCCTTGTTATGTTGCCACGTCAGAAAAAAACTGCATTTGTCGAGCGAGACGCTCAAGTATCCGTTGACGATCCGCTGATGTACATGCAGCCTTCTTTTGGTACTGTTGAATCGGTGGACGCGGTGGGCACGCCAAATGGACTTTTTCAAATCACTCGTGCAATAGTGCACCTTGTAGACGTCGAGATGTTTGCAGAAATTAAAATTTGCTTGGAAATCCAACTGGAACGTGGATGTACTTCGTTGTTCTGGCTAACGTCTATAAGGATTTTACATCCAAAATCTATCTGACTAGCTGAGGATAAAGTAGAAGGATACGAAGGTTGCTAGCAACATCGTGAAGTAAATAAAGCAATACGTCATCCCCTTCCTCTTACAGAGGAAAGAAAAAAGAAAAAGACCTCGCGAGGAAGGTGGTACGTGGTGCTATCTCTCTAGCGCTGAACTTTTAGCTAGTTCTGTGTTCCTGATAACATTAGATGTTTATACCTTAACACACAATGATATATATCACTTAGCTTAGCTCTTTCTGGCTATCGACGACTTGCCTGGCACTTTGCCCTTTTTTGACTGAGCTATTCCTGCACGCGGTTGCAGCTAACCTGCTAATCGTTACCTTCGTCTATCGACTCGTCCCATTCTGATATCCGTCGTCTCCCTTATCCCTCGTTTCAACCGACGGACGGTAAGCGTACTTTAGAGGTTCCAACGGCTTCAAGCTGAAAACATATTACAACACGCCCCCTCCGACGCTTGCACGGGAAAACCTTGACTCCTATGAGGCTCTCATAGCCAATAGCGGCTCGACACTTGAAAGGCTGCGATTTGGTAAACCCTTCGTAAACGTGTCAGCAGGATTCTCTGCTCCGGCGACTATCTTAACCATGATGTTTCCAGCTTTTATCCGTTCGCGCACATAATGCCCTCTTAACTCAATGTGTCTTGTCTTGCGGCTATGTGCTGGTTTGCAGACCAACAAAATAGCTGCCGAGTTGCCAATGCCCGTTGGTATCACAGTACGTGCCTGCAGACATTTTAGAATCTCATTGATCATATTCGCGATTCCACGGCTTTCCATTGATGCTTCGCAGGCTGCCACATATTCAGCTTCTGCGGTGGATTGTGCGACGACTGTCTGACGTCCGGCGGTCCATGATACAGCACCAGACTCCATCAGAAGCACAAATTCGGTAACATTTTTTCTTGAGTCGGGATCGTTTCCCCAGTCAGCATCGTAATATTTAGTGATGACAACAATATCGTTTGTATCCATGGCTTTTGCGCATGAAATACCGGCCTGTCGTGTGCCAGACAGGCATCTTAATACTCGCTTGACTGCTCCTCAGTGTTTTCGCGACGGGTTGCTTACAAAACGCCTTAAATAGCCCACAGCATAGAATATATCGGGCCATGTACTTGTCGCCAAGTACATGAACGATCCAATCGCTCCTTGATAAATCAAATTAAAGCAGTCATCTTCTAGTGGTTCAATATTCTTACTGCATTTAGCGTTAGTCTCCATAGGAGTTGCGCTACCGTGCGCTTCGCCAAAACCAAATCTCTCCAGGACCTTCTTGCAATACTTATGTCTGGTGGATATGAGTCTCCATCTCATCTTGCTCGACATTGATGCCTAGAAAGTAGTGCAGCTTGCCTCCATCTTGAATCCATATTTCGCATCGATGGCTTCAAACAACGAGTTTGATATGCCTCTGACTTGGTCGCTAAGACCATATCGTAGACGTATAACTTCATGCTTGAAATAGACGTAAAGATATGGCTCAGTCTCACTTCTGTTAAACTCTTGTGTGACCAACAATTGTGTAATCTCTTCATTCCATTCGGCTCCTGACTGATGCAAGCCATAAAGTGCTCTATCCACACGGTATATTGTTCCTTTACGTTGAGGGAATCTGGTGTATTTCGAACATACTGCTTGATCTTCAGATTTGCATTTAAGTATGCGGTGTCCACATATCCCTGATGTAACACCATTCCAAGCTTTGTAGCTAGCGCCACCAACACTCGGAAGGTAACATTCCGTGCCACGGGCGAAAAAGATTCCATGTAGTTAATTCGTGGCTGTTGGTGGTTCCCTTATCCCCTAACCTAGGACGAAAACGTGTTATATACCCTTGATCATCAGTTTTTACTTAAAAGTTCCACATCAATCCCAATTTGTTTGTGTTGTTCGGTGCCTTTATGCATCAATTGGAACTAGTACCTCCTTGAAGAAATTAGCGTTCACCTCATTCTTCATACCAGCATACTCTTGTCCTTTTGGGGCGTCTTCTTCGCTTCAGTGAAGCTCTTTTGAATCTTTGTATCATTCGCTCGCCATCGATGTTCAGCTGCTATGCTGTTGCTGTTATCTTGGATCGTAGCGTTTACTAGGTATCCTTCAAGCCATGACGGGTATCGGCGCTCTGCCGAATGGCGCAAGACCATTTCAGTGGCCTGCCGTCATTATCTCGCCGTCTTTTCATCTCTTGGACATCTTCTAGATCCGCGTCCAGTGCTTTTCTACGTTCGCCAGTGATAATTTCAGAATTCATGCATGTGTCCATCAATTCATAAGCGGACTCACGCGTCATCTCATCCATGTTTCAACAAACTGTAGCATCGGTAAAAATCTGTTTTTCATTCTGCATTGCATCTTGCTGATCGTACTCAACTACACATGTGTCATAGGGGTAGCCCCTTTCTTAATCCTCGCTGCTTCCATGTTCGGATGTCTCGGAATGATCTTCCAACACAAAAGCCACATCTTCCAGATCATCTTCGCCACGTTCGCCAGCTGATTACATGTCATCACCTTCTTGTTTCGTTTCCTCCTCGAAGCTGAAGGTCTTCCTTGTACGGTTGTCATTCTCTGTATGTGTGTCGAGCGTATTACTGTCAACATCAGTCCTGTCCCTTTTATCCGCATTTCAGCTTACAGTATCCACATCATAGAGTTCAAAATCCGGTACTGGCTTGCTGTCATAGTCAAGTGGAATCGACTCGCAGTCTGACGCCATACTCGCGTTATCGCTTTCAACTTCCATACTGTCATCAGCATCTTCATTACGAGACAACCAATCCGAGACGACTACATCAAATCCTTCGTTATAACGGTCACCGTAGACAATATCCTCGTTAATCGAAGCATCTAACACGTGTTGAACCACATGTTCAGCTGGAAAATAAGCTTTAAAGCCTGCTTGTCCTTCATGTAACTTGAAAGAAACCCAATTCTACAGTTATCATCCAACTTCTTTTTAGATGGTCAATTTGCTTGATGAAGATAAGTGATTGATCCAAACTTCTTGATTCCATGTAAGTTTCTATTTTGTTCATCATCATTCTGTATGGTGTGTCTTTGGTCGATCGACGGTAGGCCCAGCTCCTCAAGTAAGTTGCCATTTTAAGAGCATGCATCCAAAACCATCTCGGTAGCCGTGCATCAGCCATCATTGCCTCTACCATGTGAATTAGAGTCTGGTGTGCCCTTTCACACAGATTTGAGTGTACTCCATGAGAGGGGTTTGGTAAAAACTCAATTCCAAGAGTTTGTAACACGTTGTCATTTCCACGTTCACAAATTTCCCGCCGCCGTCGAAGATCCCTTTCTTGACTTTACAGTCGGGAAATTGTCGCTCTGTCCAAGAGGTGTACCGCTCAATCGCTTCGTTGAATTTCGATGCATTCTTCGAGTAAAGTGGGTGAACTGTGGTATGACGTAAATATCCATTCACCATAACAAGTACCGCTTTGTATGCTCTTGAACTTGAGCAGTACTTTGGAAAAAGTAAATCCACAAATATTACCTGATTCTTCTTCGTGAGATCCGCTCCAAATTTTCAGACGCGTCTTCTGTATGTCTTTTCCAATGTGGCATGCTTCACAGTCATCAAATTTTTTGTGCTTAGTGACATTCTGTCCACTAGCTTGCAATCTGCCATGATCTTCACGTACTGAGGGTTTAGATTACCAAGCCTTTCATGCCAACGCTGGGTATCAGCTTGCCCTTCTGCACGCGTATGATTCACTTGATGTAGGAGGCCCTTATCTTGGCGTAGCGCCTCACCCCCGGCACTCATCGTCGGGTGAAAAGTGTTCATTGCTTGAAATGTAAAGAGACCACATTCGTCTCTGTCAATCTTCAGAAATTTGTGATTTTTTTGCCAAAGCTCATAGACCTTTTACCCATTCGGCTGCAATAAGTCACTGTGATATATTGGTCCTCGGCTTGCGTATGCGAGATCAAACTCATACTGTCAGGAACATGCAACACGTCATACAGCGTTACTTCGTTGATATTTGACCAATTTTGAACAAGTATCTGAACAATTCCTTGGCCTATCGGCTTGGTCGTAAATTGTTTTTGAAATCCTCGCACACTTTGGACTTGTGTATCGTGGTTAAATGCTTCATAATCAACTAAATACCGCAAAATGGAAGCAACGTGCACATTTGACGCATTGTCAATACACCCTTGTCGGTGGGTACGGTCATTGATATATGCTTTTGCTCACGGGAGCATCGGATCCTGGCGGTTGATCGTTTTCTGACTTCACGGCATCCATCTTCTCTTGATGCATGTCACGAGACTCATCCTTTGGATGCTTTGCGAACGCCACCTTCTGGTCACTTGTTCCTAGTTTCCTCATCACTGAACAGTCTCTCATGCGGTGTCCGGGCTTGTGACAATTAAAGCAGGTTCCATGCTGCTTATCTGTCTTTACGGAAGTCCTCTGGGGAATTCTATCGGTCGAGTTGAGTCCTTTACCACCGATTTGTGATCATGCACTGCTAAAAGCATGCCCTTTCTTGGGCGCTTGACTTCCTCCATAGTCTTGTACATTTCCAATGACACCATGAGCACCAAGCTCCCGATCACACTTGTTAAAACTATCCATTCGCAAAATCTGATCTTTCAATTTGACAGGAGTGTCAACCTTGTCGTCGCCACTTTCAACCATGCCTCTCAGACGATCAAATCGCGCATTTGCCGGTAACGACCGAATTAACATCTGTGTGAAAATTGGGGTTCGTACACTTGCGTTTACAGCGGTCAATTGATCTTTAATCATAAATATGTTCTACACGTACTGCGCGACACCCCAATTAGGTTTGCACTTCATTGTGTTTAGCTTAGTGTAAATTCCAATCTCCTGGTTTGTTCTCGTTGCAGCATTCGTCTTTCCCTCATTAACGTCTTTTAAGTATTTTCAGAAAATGTGTAAGTATTCACATTTTCGGTCCCAGTTGCTTTTGTCATCACTCGCTGGTCCATCTCCATCAAAAGAAGAGCAAGAACTATTTGCTTAATCGTTACTTGAGCTTCTCGAAATGCTTTCACTTCATTAAAACTTTCGTTGACTGCGAGAACCTTGTCCCCAGTAGCATATTCCAACACATTATTCTTGTAACGGGGTGAATCGTTACATAACAATTTATAAGAAATTGTTAATAGAATATAACTATAAGAGTTATATTCTCAGAATATTGTCATAAGGACAATATTCTGTAGCACTTCCAAGTAGTTCCTAATTGGTTGATATAGGCCATTATATCAACCAACGAAGACGCGCCACGACAGACGCACGCAATGAGTGGTGAGCAGATAACTGATTTACACATTTGTATTTAGACATAGTTAGATGAAGATAAATAGTGATTTATTGCAGACATTAACTATTATAAATACAGTTCTACTTTTTACTCTAACCGAGTACTCGCTTCTTCTTACCGTCTTCCTCTGCACGTACGAGTGTACGTGAAGTTACGAGGCACCGCCTTATTCTGTTATCAGAATAAGTAGCTTGTACTGTCACCAGTACAAGCTTCAGGGTGCCCCGTTACACCTGGTAGCACTTCGTAGTCCGTCCAAGGACCGCGTTCACATCCAACATGAATATGTTGGATGATGAAGATGACCAAAGCTTTCACGCTACGCGTGACGGCTACTCCCATTTGAGCGATGTCGAATGGGATGCGGTTGAACGAATGGGTTCGACCATGGGCATCCATGCTGTTAGCGTCATGCTAGAGGCTCTCAATAGAGATGCCCAACATGCTACTATCGCCAAGTTC